TGTCGTCAGATCGCTCCATCTCCACTCCCGAACTGCAGCAAGCTATGGAAGACCTCGACAGCGTGGTACTGTCCCACGACTCACCTTCGATGGCGTCCATGATGAATGGTCTACAATTGCTGCATACTACGATGCAGCAAATACTTCCTCGACTGCATATTTGCAGACTACGAGTGAAGTTCTCATGGATCATACGAAGGTACTCCTTGCCAGGACGGCCCCCAAGTCCAACTGCTTATTCTGCACGGTCGAGGAAAACCGTGATTCGCATTTCCCGGCCGATGCACCAAAATGACCAGGATGGATGCTGAAGACTGGGCTTTTAGCCGTTTGCAGAACAGAAGGCGGTTCAGTGGAATATTTATTACTTATGTGATGAGAGAGCAAAATCGGCGTGGACGAGTGTCTCCTACGCCAGCACAACCTTGAATGATGAAGACCCAACAAATCTACAGGTTTGCCCCGCCTCCATGAGAGAAGGAGAGGGCGACCAACATTGACATATAGGCATGATAAGGGGAGGGAGGTCGTCGACGACGACACCTCTCCCCTCCTAAATGGCGACTTGATACAACCCCCGTCCAATCTGTGGGTTTCGGTTTGTTGCTTTTTCCAGGGCAGAGCAAGTGATTTTCATCTCGTTCTAAGCTAGGTCTTATAAAGTGACAAAGTGCTTCAGGCGGACCCCGTGACAGATGCGCTCTAGCCGAGGCACATCATGAGTTGGGAAATTTGTCGAGTCCGTACGACCCTCTCCCCTCCTAAATGGTGACTTGATACAACCCCCGTCCAATCTTTGGGTTTCGGTTTGTTGCTTTTTCCAGGGCACGTTTTGCCGCTGGGAAAAATTCACACAAAATGCGAATCCCCCACCTATTTCCCTCCTTTTCGTACCTACCACTTTCCTGAATTTTTCCATCTTCCTACAATTTTTTTCCGAAATTTCCCGAAAATTTTCTAGTCTTCCCTCAAAAACTTGCTTCACAGCATATGTGAACAGGAAAACCGTGAAAAACAACCGGGAGAAGTTTTTCTCCAACTCCGCAGGTTTCTCTCAGAGGGCAAATGCGATCCTTTTCCCCAGCTTATAGACTCCGTTGATCAAGAAGAACCAGCTATCAAAAAAGAATTTCTCAGATCAAATACGATCCCCCTTCCCGCAGCGACCGAATACGACCCTCCTGTTAGGGAACCCCAACGATGATGTGCCTTTGCTCTAGCAGTTTATAAGGCGCGACGTGCCTCGAAAGGGCCAGTTATGAGAGAGGTTGGTCACGTCTTCCTTTTGGTGGAAAAAAGTGAACTATCACCCCATATATATAATTCGCTTTGTCTGTTTGTTTGTTTGTTTGTAAGTTTGTAAGTTTGTCTGTCCGGAAATTCGGTTCGACCTGAAGAACGACTTGGAGAGGTCCAGTCAAGGTGGGGATAGGTAGGCATGGGACAAGAAAAAAAGCACACTTGACCTATGGGAAGTTCCACCCACGTAGTCGCAGGCGCGCCCCCGGCAACTCACCCGCCCCCGCAGAAGTCCCTGGGCGCTTCACCAGCAGAAAAATGTTCATAATCGCTTCGGAGCAGCTTAAAGATGGGGAAAAAAGGGACTAAGGTTAGTAAGGAGTCGCCAGACTAACTGTGGCAGGTACACCCTAAATGGGCGGGCGTACTCAAGGTGGGCGGTGCTTCTCGCAAAATTCAGTAACCCGGTTCGCGAGAGTGTTTGGAAGTCGCAAAAAACTAGGGTAACCGGTGAGGACTGTGGGGCACAAACACTGTGGGCGGGGCCTGCTCCGGTTTGGGCGGAGTCAGGCGAAAAATCTGCAAAATAGTTTCAGAGCACTCCACACCGGGAAAAAAGTGGATTAAGGTCAGCAGAGGGTCGCGATTGAAAAATGTGGGTAGTACATATAGGGGAGCCAGCCCGAGGTGGGCGTAGCCAGACGAAAATTCTCTAAAACTTTCCCAGGGCGCTTCAAAGATCGGAAAAAAACGTGGCTAAGTCAGCAGAGGGTCGCCGGTGAGGTGTGGGGCAAAAAAATTGTGGGCGGAGCCTGCTCCGAGGTGGGCGGAGCCAGACAAAAAGGTCTGTAAAACGGTTCCAGAGCACTCCGAAGACCGGAATAAAGTGAATTCAGGTCAGCAAGGGGTCGCCGATTGAGAAATGTGGGGTATACATATTGTGGGCGGGGCCAGCCCGAGGTGGGCGGAGCCAGACGAAAATTCTCTAAAACTGTCCCAGAGCACTTCAAAGACCGGAAAAAAAGTGGATTAAGGTCAGCAGAGGGTCGCCGGTGAGGATTGTGGGGCACAAAACATTGTGGGCGGGGTCTGCTCCGAGGTGGGCGGAGTCAGACGAAGAATCTGTAAAATAGCTCAAGAGTACTTCAGACACCGGAAAAAAGTGGAGTACAGAACAAAAGGCGGATATCAGTTGAGTCTAGAAATATGTGAAAGAAAGTACGCGCGGCGAAGCCGCGCCCGCCCGGCGCAGCCGGGCCGTATCAGAAGGAGCCGCGCCGGCGTCAGCCGGCGAGGCGACTGGTATAAAATAAAACAGTTGCGTCGAAGCAAGCCTGTTTGCAAGACCAAGTCATGGCAGAATATGTCATGTTGTTTCGGTGAGAGGGTAAATATGAATAAAAGAAACGTGGCTTAGCTTGGTTTCCAAGTTATTAGACTCCTCTGAGTTGAAGGCTCACTCCGCGTCCATTCGATGTTCAGACGCCTTCGGATATGGTAGACTTGCCCGCAGTCGCCGGAGGATGTACAACTCAGAAGTAATGTCACAGTGCGACTCACGACACAAGGCCACTGCCCCCCCCCCCCACTGGCCACCGCAACGCCCAACTTCCATATATAGAGGTATCCGAGGTTGTTCCGCTATTTGTTCATCTAGAATGGAGAGAGTGGCATAATGTGGAAAGCCGTAACATTGACCAGGTTAGAACAATTTATGAGCAAAAAAAAACAACATCTGTGAACAGTGAAGGTAGTTACTCTGGTCTAGTCTCTCTTTTGACATTTGACATTAGAATTAAAATTTATTAAACAGCAGCTAGGAGCAGGCTCACTCGAGTCACAGTCAATTATGTACTTGGGATTATTTCTGTTCGCTGCTCTGGCCGCAAGAGAACAACAATCGGAGATAAAACGTGAACAAAACAATAAAACTTTAGAACCGTATATAAATAAGTGATCTAAAAATTATGCAACGATTACCAACCGTAAATACACGAGTTTCACCCTGAGGTAGAGAGATAAAAAGCAGTGGTGGAAGCTACGACTTTTGTTGTTTCTTCTCATCCATGGGCGTGTCAAACGTGAACGCTACTAGTTGACTACCTTCGACAAGTGGTGTACTGGAAGCATGCCATGTGGAAGGTGGAGCAATCTCACAAGAAATAAGGCACTGGTCGAGTGTGTTGTCGACTCCAAAAAGTGGAACTGCTTGAGCCTTTTCTTCCGATGGTTGCAGCCGGACCTGAACAAGAGGGAAGAGCAGTCGATGAAGAAATTCGTTCATTAGTTACGATTTTGCATAAGATAGTATCTGATAGGTTGCTAAGAAAGTCCTGTGACACTTTGACCAAATTTTCGGCTCAAATATGCCTTCACAAAGAGAGACTTGCAATCTACAAGGTAATCACCATTAATGACCAGAACTAACAATAAGACCCACTTTTTGCACATCTTCTACTTTCTACTTTCGTAGAACTACGGCAACTATGATAAAAAGAAGAGGTGGACCTCATTTTCAAGTAGACGTCGATTTTCGGAATTTTTGCTTCCTAAAGCATGCGGGAGGGATTAAAGGAGAGATGGGTACGGTACCATTCTCTGATCGAGATCCATGATCTTTTGGCGTAGCCTGATCCCCACATGCAATCTTCGCATTGCCGAGTAGTAGAAAAAGTATTTCTGAACGATTTCAAGGGTGGCCATCCATGTTTTGAAATTGATTAGAGTGGACTGTGGTCCTTACAGCTGTGCTAGTATCCAGTGATACCGCTTTGAAGTCCCACCAATAACACACTGAAATCTTTATCCCATGCACATCTGCTTTTGGCTAAGCAATCTACTTTTCTGTTTGAGAGATCCTGCGAGGGACATGTGCATGATGTACGCAAGGACTCCACCACTCGCTACCAACCACAAGATCTCACAAAGTTCTTCCAGTGTGTACAAGGAAAAGAAAACTCAGTCACGGTCATTCGGTATGACTTGTCAGACGGGTCCAACTCATGAGGCATCCTTCACAAAAAATTTTCCCGATAACCGAGATTGCGGAGAAGCATGGCAGTTGTCAGTTAGGTGGAGCCTAGAGAGGTTGCCAACCAACTTACTGGTGGTTACGTTCGGCTGCGCCTCAAGAAGCTTGAGTAAAGGGCCGTCATTCTGTGCTGGTGGCCGACCTATACATTGCCTACCTCCGAATTAAATAAGTCCAGCTTGGAAGCGCTGATGCAAACGCTACGTTCTGCCATGGCAAAGTGAATCCCTTCCTTAAAACAGGTGTTGGCTCCCTCGACTACGACGAAGTGGCCCTAGAGGAACTTATAATATGGGATAGGTCGAAAAGTATCTTGACCTTTAGGGGCTTTTGGGCTTTGAAGCTTCAACAGAGTCACAATATACCCGTCTGCAGCGACCTTAGAGAACACTCTCCACTATTCAGAGGATGAAAACATTCAAAATGTTTTCTGATTTTTTTTCTAAAACAATTTGATCAAAGTGTCGCAGGACTTTCTTTCCAGCCTAATACAATCAATCACGCCCTACTACAAAGGGTACGATTTAATGTGGAACTGTGAATGGAGACCTGAATATATTGAAGCAGTGTGAATGTTGAGCACAAATGTGACCCGGCGACAAATAAGCAGTATATGGAATCTCCCAGAATCTCAAATGGACCAGAAAAGTGTCCCCGGAATGAGTATGACTTTCTGAACTGGGGCGGGGGACGCATGGCCGCGTTGTGCTATTTTTTTCTTGCAAAATAGGAACCCAGGGATGCCAGACGTCATTTTTTGAGAGAGAGAGAGTGTAGACATGTGGCGGATGCGGCTGTAGTTTGACGCATACGGTTGTCAGTATGGCGTAGTTGTGGCGTGTGTAGTGGGTACTGAATAGCGGTCGAGATAGAATGAACACCAAGTTCTCACAAGTTAAGAATGAACACCAAGTTCTCACAAGTTAAGACACCATTTCACCATTAGTAGTGGAATGGTGTCATAACAAAACGGTGCCAAAACTTTACAAAATTTTCACGCTAAAACTCTGCCTATAGATGTTATTCGATGCCCTTATCACGAAGACAATCATTTTTGGCGCACGCGCCATTCGGTGCCAACAGTCGCCAAGTTAGCGGCACCCCCTTTCCCACCTAACGATGAAAAATTGTATATGGCAATTTCGACATCGTGATCACGAATGCGAGAATCGATTTTGAAGGTGGCGCCATTCGGCGCTGAATGGCGGCGATTTGGCTTCACTATCTTCTCACCCACATGAAAACTTGCATAAGAGGGTTCACTGATAACCCGTTTACGAAAATGGCATCAATTTTCTAACATCCGTGCAGTTTAGCGCTCTATTAAGGCTGAGCCCTGGAGAAGAAGTGAACCCTTTCCCGATAGGCTAAAGCTTAGCATACCGCAGATGATTAGTACCCCGCATTAGCGCCAGCGCGATTATTAGTTCCCTACATTAGTGGTCATATATGTGATCAGGATGTCAAATAAGTTCCAAGTAGTAGATGGCGACAACAGACAATTCAGAACAGATAATGGTCATGAATGTCTACGATGACCGCGCCTGCATGAAGCCTGGTGCTGCAACCACTAGGTTAAAAGTAGTTAAGAAATCGCCGCGTCGCCCGTCTCCCGTTATTCGCAATCAGGAGGTCAAATACCCGGTGTACAAGTCATCGATTTTAATGAGACAGGTGATGGAGCGAGATTGGCGCCAATCGCCATCGCCAAACATGAACATGATATTCGCAATCAGGGAGTGCATCAATAAGCTCACCGGGAAGTCCGCCAACTTACCATGGAACTTTGAATGGAGACCTGGGTAGATCGATAGAGTCTATAAGGTTATTTACAAATATAGATAGCAAAACTGCAACCTGCATTTCACAAGCAACTTATGAGCAGGTAAAGTTTGTAATGGTGCAGTAGGGTGGAGGCTTGGTGGTGAGCTGTGAAGCATAAGCGAGGAATCGCATACGTCGAATCGAGTCGTGGTGGTTCAGTGGTAAGGTTCGACGTTCGACGACTCGATTCGACGTATGCGATTCCTCGCTTATGCTTCACAGCTCACCACCAAGCCTCCACCCACCATTACAAACTTTACCTGCTCATAAGTTGCTTGTGAAATGCAGGTTGCAGTTTTGCTATCTATATTTGTAAATAACCTTATAGACTCTATCGATCTACCCAGGTCTCCATTCAAAGTTAAGTTGGCGGACTTCCCTGGTCAGTGGAGGAGATTTTGGCAAAAAAATTTGAGTTCAGCAGTGAAGGTGGAATAATGCCCAAATCTTTACTTTCATTGCCGCCCATTCTCGCATGGTGGGGGTGCTATATGTTTTCGATTGCAGATCTGCTCAAGTAGCAAAGATGCACCTCTAGGTCGTCGTACACAGCATATTTGAGGCACATAGCACGGAAGGTCAAGACAATCGCAAACGAATTTTAAGGGAGAATCGGGGACCAAATGAAGCAGCATAGGAATTCTAACGAAAGGGCTCGAGGGAGGTACAAGAGAAAACCGCGTTTCGCCGCATGAAGGTGGACTGTTCAGTTTTTGCAAAATGACTCTAGTTGGAAAAGGCCGTAGTGAGCTGTGAAAATACTCTTGTTCATCAAATTCCTTCCTTCAGTGCTGAGAATTGTTTCTCACCTGTTGTTTGCCTGTTTCCGAAGGCTCATAATTGAACACTGTTATTTGCCTATAACGAGTAGTAAAGCGTGGAATACGGCGCATTATGGTATATTTGACGCACATCCACATGAACACCACACATGTACTTGCGACCACTACTCCAATCAGAAGAAGGACTGTAAGGATCTCTTTGATTTAAGTGTCGTCTCAGCAAGCCATTAGCCATTGGAAACTAAAGAATACTCACGTAACCTCGCTAGAGAGAATCGCTCAACATGACTGATTGATTTTATAATGGCGAAAGTTGATATGCTGAACAAGAAGAGGAGAACAGAAATGGTGCAGCAGTACTGGTAACGGTACCTCACGAAAAAATCCCACAGAGACCCGTACTAAAACGTATCATTTGATCAGATACGCTAAGAGATAAAAAGGAAGTGAACTGAGAATCCACTTCCAAATGAAGTAGTGGAACAAATTTACCTCACGATATCGGTATTGAACTCCACACACTTTACATCGGCGTTCAGCAGCAACACGAGTAGCAATGCACTGATGGTGACAGCTGACACTGAAGGCAAATATGGAATCAAACAAGGGTAAGCTGTATGCGACAATATTTTCTCACATTTATTTATTTATTACATTTATTTATAGCCGATTAAGATTCTTTGGCAGAAGTTTGAAAAACTATAATTATTCGTGCACAAAAGCTGAAGGATTCCTTATTTACCCATTTCACCTATCATCTCGGTGATCGTTGAGTCCCTGGAGGAGGGAGAGGTCAGAAATATCCCATTCGTCCTTACTGTTTGCCAAGTGAATATGTGGTCCTTCTTGCTATAAGTGAGCCACTTCTTTCGAGGCTATCTGGTGTTCGCAAGGATCCTGTCGTTCTCCGCGGCCCGCTCTGGTCTATCTGATCTTCCCGAACCTGGGAAAGTGGCAGCGTCTTCTATCCTTGATTCCTTTCTGCACTTGCACCTATTAGGAAACTTCGAGCATGGCCACCTCACTGCGCTCTCGAAGGCACGCGCTGCATCCATTCGAAAACCTTCTTCGGAGATGTAGTTCTGTTAGCAAGCATGGAGGAAGTACCACTTCCAAGGCTTAGAAATACGTGAGTAGAGCGCGACTCGCTCTCGACAAGGATAGCTACCCTCTCCATTTCCAACGATGAGGGTGAGGTGATAAGGAGAAAGAGTTGGCAAAAACCAGTGCGACCACGCCCTTCATTCACATTATGCACCTACAAGCGCGGTTCAGCACGGGAATTTACACGCTTTCTTCACTTTTGTGTTATTTACCATCTTGTCATTAGTATTTGAGCTGCATGAATCGGTGCTCTCGAACGCGGGGGTTGCCTTGATAAGGCTGACCCCATGCTGGCTTTACCTGTGCACAAACGAATGCACCAACTGGGGCAAGAGGCACTGTAGCATCAAGACGAGCCCAAAACATGTTGGTCCTCTCCACCTTTGCGGACGCTAATGCGTCAAGTTTGTTCTATGCAAGGTGATCAAGGGCCACCTCTAGTGCAGCTACTCAACCTAAGATGATAGTTCACGCCTCAAGGGTGTCCTATTGCCATACTAATTCCCAACAGCATGAAATAGTTAGACTTATCTCGCTAATGGGAAGGGTGTGGCTGCGTACTTCATTTCCGTAGAATGCATTCTTCGTGGGATATCCAGCTTTTGAAGAAAGGTTATCCTGCTTTGTGCCGGGCAAAGATTTACGAATGTCCGGAAAGGCGAGCCGCCGCAGCCGCTGCCACGCTCAAGGAAAATACGCAGCCACGCCTCTTCACCTTGTATACAGGGCGTATTCTGAAGAAAAGCGGTTATACTGTAAAAAAAACACCTACTCGCAAAAGCAAGGGCGTATCATAGCTAGATCTGATCGTAAGCCAGACTTCGAAATTGGAGAGGATACTCCGCATATGCAACACTTTGTTTTAGACAAGTTGGTAGCGTGAATTTTCGAGAAGGAAGGCACTGATGAAATTCTCTGAACCGATCTGCATTCATTAAATAACGAAATAATCACTTTATTCAAGGCTTTCCTTACCGATGGCTGCCGGAGATTATCGTTGCAAGCAATACATCTCCGAGACGACCACTTCTCATCATTGAGAGCGCAGAAGGTGTGGACGTGTCTACAATGAAGCTTCATTGGCTCTTTCGAGGAAAAAAACTTCACAAAATCCTGAAGCACAATCGGCGAGAGCGAGAGCGACAGATTTTTAGGTCCTAACCCCTACCTATTTTTGGATAAAACGTGAGAACGTTGGCGAGAAGGTTCGACGTTATTAACTACACAGATGTCAGAACGAAGCACTTCCTTCCGGTTATCAAGATATCGGGTTTCCGAAATTGTGCTCTTTTCGGGTCGCACTTTACTTAGTACTCGTGTCAAATATGGTACTGTGCGATTGCATAAAATCCCCTGTGAACACGACTGTCACTAATGTCCCTTTTTTAGTCACGTTTCTTCTTCGGACGATGACAGCCACGCCTGTATATGGGGAAACCCACCTCCTCTAATGGATTTTTGGATGTGGCAAAAAAGGATCGATTACGAAGATGTATGTGCGTTCGCTACATTCCAATTATGACGACAGCCAAAGTAGTAAAGTAAGCTAAAGTAAAGTAGTGGTAATCTGAAAATGAATCAACACCCTCTCTAACAGATAAGTACAAACACTGATCATATACAATACCCGTCCTATTCCTTCAAAAAAATAAGAAAAAGACCCGGATATATTTTTAGTCTTCTTTCGAAACTAAGCCCAGCTCTACAGTGCGGTCATGTAAAACTTTAGGGAACCCCATTTTTGTGACCTTCGTGCCAGCAAATTACCCGGCGCGACTCATTAGCGAGCGAGTTCCGCCATAAGTATGGTCGATGTCGTCGCAAAACTGGAGGCGGTGCGAAGATAGGTGATGAGCCCACCCCTGCTGCTTTTTGCACGGATAGTGATCGATTCAGGAAGAAAACAAAAAATGGTAGAAAAGGCCTCATGGACTCATTCCATACCTCTTCACATTGCGTCGACTGACATCAACTGTGGATCCCAGGCCTTCCAACCTGTGGGCCAGTCGGATCGCCCGCCTTCGCCATAGAAAAAAATTTTTGCAATTCCAGAACATTACGACCCCCCCCCCCCCTAGTGGACTAGTGGACGGTTGTGAAATTTTCGTAAAGTCAAGGAGTGGGAAGTGGGAACTGGATGCTCAGTGGAAAACTGAAGTGGTAGTATGGGTATTTGGATTGTTGTAGAATAAATAACAGGTAAATAAGTAAATAAACAATAATAAATGCAAATAAATCATGAATTTTCTATTTTTTTCTGACGCGATGCGTTTTGAAAATTTTTATCCTTGGCACCGTTCACTTCTGCCTACGCCCCGCCCATTGTGGGCGGAGCCTAGGTTACCTTGTAGGTGTTCTGTAAATGTTGTACCCATGCCACAACCATCCCAAGCTTGATCCCTTAACCAAGAGTGATTTTCCACATAGTCCCCAATTTTCGGAAAACAAAAAAAAAAAAAAATGTAAAAACAAACAACAGAAAACATACACATACACAACACAACAACACACAACAACACACAACAACAACAAACAACAAACACAAAACAAAACACCACACACAACACACAACAAGCACACACAAAAATTAATAGCTTAAATATTAATAAGAGAGGAATAATGAAAAATCAAAAAAGGTACCTGCACATATATTGAAGGTTCCTGTACCGCGAGGCAGACTGAATATAAACAGTTATCTAAGTGAGAAAAGTGGACCAACTTTCGCTATAACTTCTCTTGTAAACCTGGGCCGAATCTGCACCCTAAATTTAACCTCGAACCATCTGTCAGAGTCGCTCAAAGGTGTGAAGCTGCATAGCTTACCAATGCTGTTCAAGCACCTTTCTTGCAGACTGCCACTCAGCAAGGGAGATTGCCATTTCAGGCGACAAGACAAGGAATAACAGGACCTTCAATAATGCAGGGACATCAACAGAGGAATGGGCAATATTTTCAAAAGATAGCTGTCACATCAGCAAACGAGAGACGGGTAGTTACACATAACGTCGCTAGGCCACCATGATTCGGAGAAAATTTGGAATCAGTCTCCGCCTAGAACAACTAAATTTGTTTCCGTCGCGGTTCGGAATCAGCGAGAGGGACGAAACCATTGCTTTTTTTCTTACAAAGGTTGGTCCTCGGAAGGTTTCGAAGAGCAGATTGCATCTCAATGAACAAACTTTTTTGAGAAAGGGCGACAAGAGAAACTCATTCGGGTCCGAGTCTTTTGTGTTTTCTTTTCGTACACTTTCTAAAGCACCTATAAGCGTGAGGCCCTTGATTTATGTTCAGCGTACATATGTGGAGACATGATAGTGTCGCAGTGGTGCACCTGAGTATGTAGCCCCCTGGTGCAGCGCACTGCGCATATTTCACCATCATGCCGAGATCACAAGCAAGCATCAAATAGTTCTGATTCTACACCGTAACATAGTTGACTCACATGGCTTCACACGAACATGGCCTGAATCGTTCCTGTGGAAGCATAATCGTCTCATGGCATAGCAGACACTTAGGAACACGTTCCAGGTTTGGATGAGATCTGCTTGAGCGAAGCGCAGAGGGGATGGACGAGTCGAGCAGTGAAGCCATTTCTCTTGGATTCTAAAATTTACGAGCAATAACGACATGCTATTATAAGACTAGATTACTATATTTTGCTACTAAAAACGGCATAACTTATTCAATACCAGTTGGATCGCACGGCTGACGCCGTGCTCTCCTCCTTCTTCTCTCGGCTTCGCCGAGCTGGCCTGGCTTCGCCAGGCGGCTCCATAATTTTAACGGAACTTTTTCGGTAGCGCGCGCTTCTATTTACAGCAGCGGTGTAGTCCGCGCCATGCCTTGCGATGTATGTTTCCGTTTTCAAAAGCATGGCAATGCCACGTCTGGGCGTTGTTTCCTGGTGTCTCTGCTCTGAATTTTTTCTTCAGATGTGCCTGTGTGTTTAATGCTAGGTGGCAAACTACATACCGCTACCCCCCCCCCCTCCGCTCGTCCGAAGCATCGGCATTATATAGTAGGATGAGTTCATTTTCAAGGGCAATCAGGGAAGTGATGGCTTAAGGAAAAGTATGCACACTGAGCCTTTGATACTTGGGGTATAGTGATAAGAGAGGTAATGATAATGGCTCCTTATCCTTTCTTATCAATTGATAAGATCCTGTCACCCCGTCATCAATGTCCCTAATCACTGAAACTCTATATTTGGTAGTGTAAAGGCTCCAGCAATTTGACTGAACAGCATTGGCAACGCTCCTTATCAACCCCTATCAGCTGTTATCACCTCACGTGCCGTATCCCATCTCCAATTCTATATCATTTTCTGAAATAATGCCTAGCTGATGGTTATGTATGGTGACCATTTAGCCAATTCTAACTCCCTTTATCAATCCTATCAGTCTGCTATTCCATCTCCGCTGTCACCCATACATAATGTTCTCTTGTTCCACTGTCTCTACATCATAGCACTTGAACCAATGTGCACTGTTACTTGTGATCAC